CCTTTTTTCGCCCTTTCTCCTCACTGATGAGTCCCACGGACTCGCAAAACGTTCGGCAGCATAACATTGTTCCAAGAGCGAAAGCTTCTCTGCGCCCGTTGACTTTTCTCTGTTGCTTGACGAGAATCGTCTTGAATTTTTACATTTTTCGTAGCAATCTTTTCAGTATAGGCATGATCAACGACATCACTTTACCATGCCTGCTCACTTCTTCCGGGTCTCGTTCTTATGCACGTATCAATGACATGTTATTCATTTCGTCTATATGCATTACTTTTCGGAATGCGGTTTCGAATGCACTCGGAACTCCTTTCCACCATCTGCTATTAGGCGTAGGTGAGTTCTCCAGCTTGAGCTCTTTCGTTTTCCTGGGTGTTTTTATTTATTTATTAAATTCGTTTATTCACCCACTTATTTATGCAATTATTGAGAGCGGAGAGAGTGGCGAGTACTTCCCTCAAACACAAGTGTTTTACAGATTCGCTGCTACCATATTCCGCGCGTTTGGCTTAGTCTTCCGACATTTTGATGTACTTCCTGAGTTGCCGACGTTAACCAGGAGAACGGACTTTAAGATCGCGGGTATCGCACGCTGCAAATTGCAAATACTGGGTGCTTGCGGTGGAGCGAACGCTCCGATGGTCCATCGTATCATTGCTCTAGTCAAATAGTTAGTGTTCAGTCATGCTCTTTACCTCAGTGAACTCCTTTGGCAGTTGTATTTCGTTTTGTTTCCTCTACTAGAAAGTCCTCGTAGTGATTATATTGTAGGAAAACTTGGCACAGATCCAGCTCATTAGAAGTTAAGCTTATAGCCGATTCCTAACCATCAAGCAGTTCCAGAGCTTTCTGTGCAGCTCACTGTCAGAGACTGTCATTCTCTTTGTCGTATGGTTAAGGTAGGACGCAATGCTCTGTTGAAAAATAATCTCCACGTTGTCCCTTCTTGAAACCTCGGCATGATGTCGAATATTTAAATACTTCTGCCAAACGAGGTTTTTAGATGACACCTTTATTGGCCTAACGTTTCGACCTTCTCGTCTTCTTCAGAGGCTCGAAGCTTTTAATTTGTTGCCTACCCGACCAAACGCCCTTCCCACTCTAGCGCTTCCGACCTCGTTTCCCGGAACGCTCCCAAAAACCTTGGCATTATCCTAACGACTCACCGAGGTATCACCGTGCGGAGCTCAGCTCACGCAGCAAGTTAGTAGTACCAGTAAGGACGAATGAGACTGACTTGTGTCTCACTGTGTCGCATAAGTCAAAATTGCGCACGTAGTCCTTACTGTAGCTCGCACTCTGATACAAACGGGGCACAGGAAATTCTCATTTCTAATCGCCGAACACGTCGTTTCGTTGTTTCAAATTCTTTCTTGTTTCCTCGCGAAAAATATTAGAATGATTCCAGAACTTTGCCTAAGCTGAGTTTCCGTCTCGTGACGCAGTATACACATTTAAGATGGCAAAGTCGTTTCCCACTCATGCTGGCTACCATTAATGGTTGCCTGAGGGAAGTGGTGCCTGATATCGCCCTTTTTCCCAGCTAAGGTTCTGCCGACGCGTGGCGCAATACCTTCCTATATCGTACGTGCTGTTCTGCGCCCTATATTCATAGCTGATAAACTTAGCTCCAGCTTTGCCACATACTCCTGACTTTTCCATATGGCGGATACCCAGTTTGGAGTGTGAAGCATGCTATTTCTGTCGGCACTGACCATGTGATCATGTTCCTGATAACTGCAGTGAAACGTGCAGTCATCAGGAACATGATCACAACAGCAACCACGATGTGTACAGGCGATGAGGAACGACTAGAGTCAAGAGCTCTAGCTTCAAAAATTGCTAGAGAGAATGGTTATGCGGTACGAGACCATCGCAGGACATCGAGTGCTAGCCTACGACATGTATCACGCCAGGGAAAACTACCCTTATGCCTTCCTTTTATTTCCGATGGCATCAGCACTGAAATACGTCGCAGTATTGTTAGGGCACAATTACACGACGATGTTGTCTTGGTGAATATCCCCAATTGTGGGAAAATGGGAATTGTGGGAGATTGTGGGAAAGCTGGAGTAATTTATCAGCTTGAATGTAGGGCGTGTAACAGCACGTATATCGGAGAAACAGGAAGGGTATTGGCTACGCGCATCGGAGAACACCTAGCTGGGAAAAGGCGTGATATCAGGACCACTCCCTTAGGCAAGCATAAGATGGAGCAGCATTTGATGTTAAATGTGTTATACTGGCGTACGAGACGGAAACTTCAGCTAGGAAAGTTCTGGAATCATTCTGGATTTTCGCGAGAAAACCAAGAATGAACAACCGAAACGAGTGTCTGGCCATTACAAATGAATTCCTGCCGTTTGTATCAGAGTGCGAGCTACAGTAAGGACTACGTGCGCTATGACAATTTTGACTTATGCGACACAGTGAGACACAAGTGAGTCTCATTCGTCCTTACTGTAGCTACTAATTTGCTGCGTGAGCGCTGAAGGCTCGCCGCCCACGTGATACGCTCTATGAGTTTGTAGGATTCATTGGCGGTTTTTGGAGCGTCCGGGAAACGAGGTCGGAAGCGCTAGAGTGGGAAGGGCGTTTGGTCGGGTAGGTAACAAATTAAAAGCTTCGAGCCTCTGAAGAAGACGAGAAGGTCGAAACGTTAGGCCAATAAAGGTGTCATCTAAAAACCTCGTTTGGCAGAAGTATTTAAATATTCGGCTCTGTTGAAAGATCACTACGAAATGCCGCTGCTCCAGTGAGAGAGCCATCGTGAGGGCGCGCTCCATTGCCACAGGGTATTCGCAGTATGTCCCGCGCGACATCGTGCGCTCCTATGGTCACACACTCCGTTATACGGTCCGGAGCACCACCCGCATGATGTACGTTTCCTCACACCGAATTTCGTCGGGCTTGGTGCAGCACTTGATATTTCGCGCGCGGGCTCAAGCCCAGAAAGGGACAAGACAATCGTAAAATGCAGCAATGGTGGGTTTGGTGAGCGGCGCCGCCCCCTACAGACGAGTGATCCTGCCTGACCGTTTGAAGTTAAATCCGAAAGAGGAAGGGAACAAAGTTCATCTCACACGTTATGGAATCTTGTCTCTGCTTGAACTCACATGAGTTTCGAATCGACAATCTGGAGTACATTGAGGTTTTATCGCGTATCACCGCACGATATGCCGTACGTGAGAGGCAGCAACTAGGACTGCCTTGTTCGTTTTCTTAGGTTCCTTCAAGGGCCTGGGTTCAGTAGCAGCACTTCACGGACTGCGAAATCTTCCTCATTTCTTCTACAAGGCTGCACCTCCCTGCTGTATATGTTCCCTGATGGACATGTTAATGAATACTGCAGCGTTGTCAGTGCATGCTAATTACTCCTTGTTCAAATTCCAAAGCTCACCGAATCTCGGACAGCATAGAGAGCGCAGTTGGATATCAGTTTTCAGAGCGTTCAACATTGCTCCGAGATGAACGACCTTGTTACAGGGTCCCGTTATGACCGGGGCTCTAAGAACAGAATTGAGGGGAGCGCTCATTAATGGAATCTTCTCTACTTCTTCACCTGGTCTTTGTTTCTTGGAAGAAGCGCAAAACATCCGGCATTGTGGGTAATGACGTTTGCTGGCTGTTGTTGTTAGGATGAGCCGCGAGAGGATCATTATCTTCGATTTTGGTAAACGTTCCATAGGGATTCTCTGTAACTCACCATGGAACCGGTTTCGCATCTGTTTAGTGAGTACGCCAGGAAGATACATTCAGTCGGAGACTATAAATGAAGGATTTTATTGCTTCTTATCATGTGGTGGATTGCATTCTAAAATGATATCATCATAGCTGCAAAACGGGATGTAGACAAAAAAGCAAAGTAGCGTAGCTTGTATACGGGAGGGGGAGGGGGGGGGGCAAAAAGACACATTTCTTTTTCGACATTCAAGGCAATATAAGCTACACTTTATTCAATTCTCATCGGACATTTCCACCAACATATTCAACAACACATGAAAACTTGGGAACTTAGCTCAGCTAAAAAAGATTCTGCATCAACATTTGACTTGAGGGCTACTACGGACTATTCTCATTTCTAAAACTACGTTGACACTTGAGGAAATGGTCAGAATTGTTGCTTTACCTTTTTATCGAATTTATTTCAATTATTACATCGAGTTCTGAAGAGCCTACGGTGCATTCAATAAATAGTAAAGAGTAACACATTGCACACTATCACGATACTCCGCCACAGCCTTCTGGACGAACGCCATCGAGAGATTCTGCCACGCGACCGTGATTCGGTGCCTGAGTTCAGCGAGGTCGTTGATTTCTCCGCCACCCTATTGAACTCCGCCCGAACCAGGTAATTGAGGGGGTTCAGGTCAGGTGACCTGCTTAGATATTCCACCTTCTTCAGGTAACACTGCCCTTCCACTCCAGAAGTTTTTCCAACGCCCTTCGACTCCGTGTGGAGGCACCAAGATGGTACGGGTGACGACATGAAGGGAGGATATTCTCCTCGAGTTGCTCGATGTAACCGCCAGCGCTCACCTTCAGTCCGGGGTCCACGAAGAAAATATCGGTCTTCCCATTCCAGGTACTTCCGGTCCATACCATCAACCCGCGCCTTGGCGACTGCGGTGAAGATGATATCCTGGACCGTAGCGACGTTGTCGGAGCTGCTCGATGTTGGAGGTCTTCCAGATCAAGAGTGCCGGTCTCCAGGTAGCTGTCCATGGGTGACTCCATACAAGAAGTTTCGACTTCATATTTTGGTGTACATGAAGGTGATGGGCGAGAGCCAGCTCCTGCTTATCGAACATCTTGGGTATCTTCCGCCCTGGTACTCGTATCCACGTCTTCTGTCTGGGCTGCGAAAACTTTGCTGATATGTGACTCGGCCGAAGTGTCTTCTCCCCCCCCCCCTCTCTTTATATGAACGCTGAGAAAGTATCCCAGGTGTTTGGACTCTGTTCTCACTGATTCTCGAAACTAGTACTTCTCGAACTTGGATGTATTCATGTATGGCTATGGCTCTGCCTAAGGGATCCAGAAAATCATTATAAAGTGTTGCTTCAATGGATCATTAAAGTTTTTTTTTCCTTTACAGGTATATCCGATTTACTCAGTGCCACTGGATACTTATTATTTCAAGAACCAGCATGGCTTGGTTTAGCACCGACTTTCTATTTGGAGAACGCTTGGTGGATAGCAAAGGTAAGAGAAGTTGAGCCGTTTGACAACATCCAAGTGCGAGCCTTTTCCAGGTTTCATCGAAAAGAAGCTTGCTAAAAATAATTCGCTACTAACGAGTTCACTTTGAAGCCAAAGTTATCGCGAAGTTGGTTTCATGGGTTGGGTTCCTCCATAATTTGGGTTTGTTTTGATGTGTCTCTAAGAAGTTGCCCAGTGTTAGCTTATATGTTAGACCGAACCCAGCACAAAGTTGCCACATTCGGCTTCATTCGGCTTGGTAGGGGCGGTTTTTGCTGTTTTCCCTTTCCAAATGTTTTTTCCCTTGTGAATTCCCCTGCAAAGCTGTCAAAGTAGCAACGAGCTTTCCTTACCATCAACAAAGATTCTGCAAAATCTACTAAGCGGAATGCGGCGACGTAATTTTATCAGGAAATTAAAGCCGAAGAGAAAAGACTGGCTGAGGCGCAAAAATCCCTTTCCCCTTCTCCCTGAGCCCTCTTTAGCGCGGTGAAGAACCAGGGAGATAAGCCACCTTACTGGGGGAGCTTTTGCAAAATATGACCCCCCCTTCCCCAACTTACCAAACTTCAGAGTATTCCTGATTGCTCCCCCTTTTAATCTACGTCATCCTACAACTTATGATTCCAATTACCAGAAAGTAATAGAAGCTAGTAGTTGTTTGGTGCGGGGAGGGAGGAGCGGCGACGTGCAAATACGAGCCCCCTCCCCCGTGGGAGTCTCTCAAAACGCTGATGGTTAGCGCGCGTAAAAACAAGGAAATAAAGTTGAATTGTCCAAGGAATTTCTCTTAGTCCCAGAATACAGCCCCTCTCCCTCTAGCGGCCAAATACGGTAACCCCCAGGGACCTACCAAGGGTAATAACGGTAAATCCTCTGGCAGGGGAAAATGTTCATTTGCCTCCAGCTTTTCACTATAATCTTCCTCGCAAGTCGCAATAATAGTAACAATTTTCGTTTTAATTAGAACTTCTTTCAGATTGTGAACATTTGCGGAATTGCCGTGTCCAATGTGCCTCTCTATCTGCATTTCTTCTTGGCGGTTAATCGTTTCACAGCTATTAGATTACCTGCACGTCCCATTTACACCGGTGAAGGGTTTCAGGCAACTGTTATTGTGAGTTTCTGCTGAATAACAATGGGGCAGTTCTTCGCCAAAAGTATAAATGCGCAAAAGTTCCAATATGAACACTCGCAAAGGCATATGACACTGTGGTTGATACTCGGTGCAAAATGCTTGCAGGGGTGCTATATAGTTAGGAAATGAAGAAAAATCGAGAGCAAGCGGCAAAACGCTCCCGAAAGCTTTTGTTCTGCACGAGATTTTGCGACTATACGGCTAGAACATCGTTGTTGGGGATCCCGCAACAGAGGGAGGGTATTTGGTTGCTGGAAGAGGGGGGGACGTATTTCCCTTCTGACCTTCTGAAGAAGGTTGCGCCTGACTTTTCATGATTTTTCCTGTTTCATGTGTATGTGCACTATGTACCCTCCCGCTCGACACCTCGATGAGAAGGGAACCAGGGGGACGTAGCAACCTCCTAAAAAGGGTGGGGTCGCACGGACTCGATCAAAAGCCTCAGCCAATGATGTGCCCTGTACGGCTGACAAAGAGCAATTTTGGAAGAGCTCGCTGTTGGCATCAAGCCAACAACTGCTTTGGTAGATACGGCTGCATGTATGTGTTTGTACGGTGATGACCCTGCAAACGATAGGGTGTGTGACGCGGCGCGGTTTGGAGCGCAGCTAGTGCGGCCTTGTTCCAACAATGACGTCATTCCGAACCCAATTCAAATGGTGAGAAATGGCGCCCTGGCTGCGTTCTAAGCTACGCCCCCTCACACGCCCTACCGTTTGCAGGTATCAAGACTGTATTTTCATGCAGCGCCGTAGAGCCGTTTTGTGGAGCGGTTGGTTACTCCTCGGATATAGTATGGGCTGACCAAGGGAATTCGCCAACTT